CCGTGGCTCTGTGCAGGGTTGGGCTGCTGTCCAGATTCCTTGCCCACAGAGCTGCCTGTGCCACCAGCAGGGATGTAGTGTGGCAGCTGTGACCCTCCCTGGGTGCTGCTGGCCTTGGCTGGGGGGTGGTGGGGACAGGGCAGGTGTCCCTTCTTGGGGGGCTGCGTGTGAGCTGGGTGTGCTGTGGTCGGTGTCCTGTCTCCATCATATCCTGCTGCCTTGAGGCAGGTAGTGCCATCCTGCTCCCTGTCCCCCCTGCATTTCCCCCTCAGCCCTCCGGGAAGTTCCTGCTCCCCTCCTGGCCCCCCAGCCCTGACCAGCCCCGTCTGTGCCCCAGGTGAGTCGGAGCTGTTGGCTCTGTCGGCCAAGGGCAGCCTCGTGTCCTGTGGGTTGTGCAGCCCCGAGGAGCCGGACGTGGAGCTGACGCCTGCCGAGATCGGCCGGAGGATCAAGGAGCTGCTGTCCGGGATAGGGAACACCTCGGAGAGGTACAGGGGTGCAGGGGCACCGAGCTGGGGGCTGTGCAGGTCTCTGTCAGTAATTAATTATGGAATTTCTGAATGGTTTGGGTTGGAAGAGACCTTAAAGCTCATCTCATTCCAACCCCTGCCATGGGCAGGGACACCTTCCACTAGCCCAGTTTGCTCCAAGCCCCGTCCAACCTGGCCTTGAACACTTCCAGGGATCCAGGGGCTTCTGTGGCTCCAGATCTCTTGGAGCTGTTTTAGGCAGCACTGGAAGGGGCTCTAAGGTCTCCCTGGAGCCTTCTCTTTTCCAGGCTAAATGACCCCAAAACTCTCAGTGAGAGACATTTTACCTTCCCTGGCTGGGAAGCTTCCCCCAACCTCAATAACATAAAACCAGTCTTTCAGGGCAGGCCCCTCTCCATGGCACAGCCATCCCCAGCGCTGTGGGCGGGCTGGCAGCAGCAGCCATGGCAGCAGAAGGTGGCACAGGCAGGGTGCCAGGCGCCTGTCACGCATGCCAAGCTGGCACTAACAGGCAGGGCAGGCACGTGCCTCCGTCTCCATGGCTGTTTGTGCATGGGAAGGGGGTGTGGGCGAGGCCCCCCCCTCCCTCCACAGGGGGATTCCCAGGGTCTGGCTGTCCAGAGCTGCTCCACAGGATCATATTCCCGAACAGAAGCACAGATACATATTGGGGCAGATAAAATCAGAGATCCTGCTCCACAGGATCAGCTCTGGTGGGGAAATGGATCTGGGGCTGCCGTGGGGAAGGAGCTGTGGTGGCTCTGGGCACTGGGATCATGCCAGTGGCTGCTCAGCTCGGCAATGGCAACACAGAGCCCGACATCCCTCCCACTGTTCCATCCCTGTCACGTTGTCCTTGCAGAGTGTCCTTCCTGAAGAAGGCCGTGGACCAGAGGAACCGAGCCCTGGCCAGCCTGAACCAGGTGATGAACGTGAGCGCGGCGCTGCTCTCCAGCCACGAGGGCCCCAAGCCCATCGCCTGCACCGTCACTGCCAACTGGAGCTGCCTCCTGCTCCAGGACACCGTCACCATCTCCTGCTTGCTGGAAAACTGCAGCGAGTACAGCCTGGAGGAGGGCTGGACCCTCTGTGTCCAGCTCCTGGCCAGCCCCTGTGCCTTAGAGGAGGAGTCCGTGGATTCGGCCACCACCTTCACGTTCCCCATTGACCAGCTGCTCCCCGGGAACAAGCGGGAGCTGACGCTGCCCCTCGGCCCCGCTGCGGACACCAAGCTGGACCTGCCTCTGACCATCTCCTGTGCCCTCTACTACAGTTTAAGGGATATTTTGGGCAGCGGCTCCGACTCCTCCGAGGACCTGGATGACTTCCTGCCCGACGACTCGCCCCTGCTGTCCCCGGACAGGGAGGGGATCTGCCTGCCCCTCAGCCAATGCACCATTGACATGCTCCAGTGCCTCCGTTTCGGGAGCAGCCCCCCCGGGCCAGACGCGCCCCCCGCCCCCCCAGACCCCGTGGAGACCTTCCTCAAAGTGTCCCAGGAACAGACTGAGCCCGAGGAGGGGAAAACCCCGGGAGAGAGGAACTTGCCCCCCTCGGCAGCGTCCATCCGGGTGTCCTCGGAGCTGCTGAAAAGCGCCCTGAAAACCTCGGGAACAGGTGGGTCCCTGGGCAGGAGCATCCCGGGAGCACCAGGGAGGTGTCCTTGGGCAGGGTGGCACTGTCACAGCCCCTCCCTTGGGCCAGGAGGGCGGTGTGACCCCCCTGTCCCCAGCACAGCGCGTGGGCTGGCACACATGGGTGCAGTGACAGTGCTCGTGACCGAGCTCAGCGTGTCCCAGCAGGGAGGGGACCGGCCCCTGTGTCACCCTTGGCCGCTCATGGGCTTCCCCCGGGCACACCCTGTCAGCGGTGTCACATCTCTGCCCTGTCCTTTGGTCCCCAGATGTGCCCCTGAGCTGTGCCACGCTGCGCTGGCTGCTGGCAGAGAACCCCGGGGCCGAGGCGCTGAGCAGCGCGGAGGTGGCATCGGTGTGTGGCACAGCACCCGACGGCGGCCACGTCCAGCTGCTCGTCCGAGAGGCAAGGAATGGGTTAGCCCTGAGCCAAGGAATGGGTCAGCCCTGAGCCAAGGAAGGGGTCAGCCTGCAGAAGAGCTCCCTGTCCTGCAAAGTCGTCTCCTTCCCGGTGCCAGGGAGTGGGGTGATGCACGGCCACGCCGTCCTGACCCCCATCTGCTGGGCTGGAAGGGCAGCATTCCCAGTCGCTTGTCCCAACCCTGGGCTTCCCAAAGGCTGTGGTCACTTCCCTCCTGCTCCGTGTGGGTGTTCCCCCTCTCAGTGTTCCAGTTTCCCTGCCAGGTAGGGCAGTGGGGTGCTGCTGCTGCATCCTTGTGGATGCCTCAGACACTCACCGTGCCCCAGCCTGGCATGAGGCTGGGCTGTGGGAAGAAATGGCCTTTCCCTGCTGGCTCTGGAGAACAAGGGGAAAACACAGCTGGATTTGGGGTGTAAATCCGATCTCCTGCAGCTCGTCCCCATTTCATGTAAAATTCCCCTCTAAAGGCACAGGAAAACAGGGATTTCTGCCCAGCTCTGCTGGCTGACCCCGCCGAGGGGCCCCCAAGTACCTGGCACGGGTGGATTCCCCCCTGAAAGCTCGGATGTCCCCAGGGTGATTAATGACTGTGTTAATTCTGCTGGGGCTGAGCCTGCCAGGCTCAATGCTGGGAGGGCTCACCAGGGACTCTCTGGGCACTGGGCTGGGGGCAGCTGGCCCTGGGAAGGGTGGGCTGGGGCCTGTGCCCAGCAGGAGGGTTTGGGGGTGAAGGGAGCCTCCTGGGGAGCCTGGTACCCGTGGGGAGGGGTCCTGAGCCCCCCAGCTGCCAGTGACACTGCTCTCCCTGTCCAGGTGGCCATGAATGACCTGAGCCCAGCGGGTCCCATCCAGGCCGTGGAGATCCTGATGGAGAGCCCGTCCCTGGCCCACATGTGCAGGACACACCACGCCGTCATCCGGCGCATCCAGGTATGCTCAGGCACTGCCCCGGGGGACAGGGGGACCCCAAGGGACCCAAAATCCCCCCCAGGATGGAACCTGGGGGTGCAGCAGGGGGATTCTGTGGCACCATCATGTTACAGCCCAGCCCAGCATGGCCTGGGGATGGTGGGATCACCACATCTCAGGGTGTTTGGGCCACAGAGCCCAGGGCAGCGTTGGCCATGTGCCCCAGGCTGGGATTCTCAGGTTTTGGGGATCCCCAGGGTTGAGGCCCCTGGAGTTGGGGGTCCCTGGGGCTGGAGCTCATGGGATTGGGGTCCCTGGGGCTGGGTGGTGCCAGCTCCCCCAGCACCCTCCCTCCTCGCAGGCGCTGGTGCTGGAGCAGGCGGCGCAGGGCTCGGGACCCCCCGACCTCCGCATGCAGTACCTGCGCCAGATCCAGGCCAACCACGAGGTGAGCACCCCCTGATCCCCGCCCCGTGGGGTGCACGCAGAAGTCCCCCCCCTACACCACATCCCCCACATCTCCCTCCTGCAGATGCTGCTGAAGGAGGCGCAGACCCTCCGGGACCAGCCGCCCCCGGGTGAGGAGGGGGCTGAGGGCGCTGCCACGGCCGAGAAGCTCCTGAACATCTACCGGCAGCTGCGGAACCCCAGCCTGGTCCTGCTGTGAGCAGGGGGGGGCGGCCAGCACGCCCCAAACCCCGCCGGCCGGGGCGGGGTGCCCACGGGAGAGCCCCCCCATCCCAGCCCACCCCGCCGGAGCAGGGCCGGGGCGGGCAGCGGTTCGGGGCGGGGGGTGTGTCTGTGCGTGTTTTCGTGGTCGTGTTGTCGGCAGCACCAGGGGGGTCTCGGTGGCGGAGCGGGGGCTCCTGGGCTGGCCCAGCCCTGCCCTGCCGCCCCCCAGCCCGGCCAGGCCGGGGCAGCCCCCCCCCGGGGCCGCGTGTTTTGTGGATCCGTGGTAGTGTAGTGGCCGTGCCGAGCCGGGCCGGCCGCGGGCTGAGCCCCCCGAGCCGTCTTGCCTTCAGGATCAGGACAAACAGGGTGCTGTGCCCGGGGGAGCCCCGTTTTCTGCTGGGCAGGGGAGGGGGTCTCCGCTCCCCCGTTGTTTCTATAAATGATCCCGTATTTCCGTGCTGGTGCGGCGTGTTTGGGCCCCGCCCTGCCCGCACCGCTCCACTGTCTGTAACTCTGTCGTCTGCCATGAAAACGATCCTGTCGCTCACCCCGTGCCCGCCTCTGTTCCTTTCCATCCTCCCGGAGGGTCCTGACACTGCCTGGGTGGGGGGCTGCCACTGCCACCCCCAGCCTGCCAGAGGGGCCATGGGCTGCACAACCGCTCTGTGCTCCAGCTCCCTGTGCAGCCCCTGCGGGTCCTGCCCGCATTGGGGTTGCTTTGCCAATCCCCCCATCCCCTGTGGCACCCCTGGGGGTCTCTGCATCCCACTGCCCCCCCAGATCAGCCCTTTCCATGGGGCGTGGGGGCTCCCGGGAGGGGGACGGGGTGGATCCTGGTGGGGAAGGAGGACGCGGCGCTGCCCCGGTGTGATCCAGGTGACTTTAATGCCGTGGGTCGAGGGGCCGGGGGCGCGGCTGCCACAGGCGCTGCCACTGCTGCCACCGCCCCCCTTTTCCGGGGGACAGGCTGGTGCCTGTGGGCGGGGGCTGCCCGGGAAGGGGGGTCAGTACTCCCAGAGCGTGGCCCGCAGCACGGACTCGCTGTCGGCGCGGAGGGTCCCCGCGGGGTCCCCGCGCAGGTACCGCCCGTTCTTCGCTTTGATGGCCACGCGGCCGCGCTCCCGGAACTCAAAGAAGAAATCCTCGGAGAGGTCCCCGTCGCTGCACACCGACCCGCTGCTCGCCACGTACCAGAACTTGCCCCCCTGGCCTGCGGGGAGTCCCCGGGGGGGGCTGTCAGTGCGAGCTGGACAGACCCACAGCCCCTCTCTGCCCTGTAACCCGCACCCACCTCGGATCTGGTAGGCGCCGTCGCTGAAGCTGATGTGGAAGACGTCGTAGACGGAGCGGTTGGAGTCGAGCAGGTTGGAGCCGCGGTGGTAGCAGACGAAGCCGTGCTCCCCCCGCAGCACCAGCATCGGGCGGTTGATCAGCTTCAGGGTGAACTCCTCGTCCTCCCCTGCGCGGCACCCGGCGCTCAGCACCCCCGGGGGCCCACCCTGGGTGCCCCAGTCCCCCCCAGCACTTACCCACGGCGTCGCTGACGGCGGCCAGCTGCCCGTTCCTCTTGGTGCAGACGTAGCGGCCGTTGCTGGCGCGCAGGGCCACGCGCCGCCCGCGCCACTCGATGTCAAACATGGTGTTGGCAGCGCTGGGGACGCAGGGACAGCGTGAGCCGGGGGGGGGAACCGCGTCCCCCCGGGCTCCCTTCCCCACCCTGCCCCACTCACATTTCGGTGGCCACGGCCTGGATGCCCCCGTGGGCCACCAGGGTCCAGTAGCTGCCGGTGTTGGTGTGGAGGCTGCACTTGTTGGTGTCGCGGTCGATCTGCAGCTGGAAGGTCTCGTGGTTCAGCTCCTCGTCCTGGTTTGCTGAGACGTTGACACCTGGGGGTGGGAGTGGATGTTGGTGCCAATCCCACTCCAGCCACGGACACTGGTCACTCTCCGGCCATCGGCACCAGTCCTGCTCCAGGTACTTGTCTTGCTCCAGCCATGGACACTGATCCTGCTCCGCCCCTTGGCACTGATCCCACTTCAGCCATCAGCACCAGTCCCACTCTGGCCATTAGGGCCAGTCCCAGTCCAGCCATGAACAACAGTCCCATTCCATCCGTGGTCACCAGTCCCTCTCCAGCCACCAGGACCAATCCCAATCCAGTCACTGTCACCAATCTCACTCCAGCCATGTCACTGATTCCGCTCCATCCATCCATCCCACTCCAGCCATTGTCACCACGCCGACCATCACCCCCACAACCCCACAGCCACCTCCTTCCTCCCCCACCTCCTTCCAAATCCTCCTGCAAACAATTGTGCTAATTGGGCTGGTTAATCAGCTTGTCACCATCGTGTCCATCTGGTCACAAACCCCTATTTATAGCTGGTCCCCCCTGTCACCCGGCTCTAAGCTGCTTGGCACGGGGGTGGCACCGTCCCCAAGGGGCACCTGGGGGCGAGGGGGGGTCCTTGAAGGGCTCCACTTGCTTATGGTCACATCCAAAGGCTCTACACACGTGTGTGCACACAGGGCATCGTGTGTGGGGTGCACACACAGATTGTGGACCCAGAGGTGCTGCACAGAGCCCTTCACACCTGTGTGTGTGTGCACAAGGACACACCTGAGCACACCTGTGCGTGCCCACAGCCCTGCACACGCGTGTGCACACACATGTGGAGACCTGCACACGCACACGCGTGTGCACACACACAGAGCCCTGTGCACACATGGGGACCTGCACACACACGTGTGTGTACACACACCCACACCCCTCTGTGCACACCCACGGAGCCCTTCACGTGCACACACATGTACATACACATGTGCACACATCTGTGCACACCCACAGCTCTGCATGTGCACACACACGTGTGTACACACACACACACACACACCCCTGAGCCCCTGCACACACACACACACGTGTGTACACACACATACACACACAAGTGTGTACACACACACCCACGCACCCCCACAATCCCCCCCCGAGCCCTTCCCACCTCCATGGTTGCTCCCACTCCAGCCCCACTGACCTCAGCACCCCCCCCTCAAGCAGGCAGGACCCCTGTGCCCCCCTCTAGCACCCCCATGTCCCCAGGGATGTGGCCATAGGGTGCCCCCCAGGCAGGGGCAGCGCTGTGGGGTTGTTACTGTGGGGTGTCCCCCCGGGATGGGAGTCCCAGGGGTGCTCCCACAGGGCTGTGGGAGCATGGAGGTCCCAGGGATGGGCAGGGAGCAGGGAGAGGGGCAGTGGAGTGCAGGGGGACACAGTGGGGTGCAGTAGGTGGGCAGTGGGGACTCCTGTGCGGGCAGCAGGGTGCAGGCAGGGGGGTGCAGGCAGGGGCAGCAGGGGACAGGGGGATGCGGGGGGTGGGCAGCCCTTACCCTGCCGGATGGAGACATATCTGCCGTTGGCCGCCGTGAACACCACCTGGGGGTGACTCTCCTCCAGGTCAAAGAGTTCATCCTTGCCCGGCTTGGAGCTGCGGCCGGATTTGAGGGTGCCAGTGGGTCCGGTGGGCGCCAGGTACTTCCCGTCGCAGTCCTTGAACGCCAACTTGCCGGCCTTGAACTCGAGGGTGTAGCCGGTGCCGGCGCCGGGCTCGGGCACCAGGGTGCCGTCGCAGCGCAGGTACCGCTCGTCGGCCGTGCGCAGGCTGTACTTCTTGTCCTGGAAGCAGAGGGTGATGAGCGCGTCCACCCCCCAGGGCAGGTTGCTGTCGGTGGCGATCTCGTCCTCGTGGGCGCTCAGGTGGGCGTAGCGGCGGCGGCTCACGCTCAGCAGGTTGGCCTGGGGGTGCATGGCCAGGTGCACGGTCCACAGCTCGCCCTCCGTCACGCTGGGGGCGAAGCAGGACAGCCGGTCCTCGCGCCCCCCGAAGAAGCGCCGGTGCGGGGCCGACTGCAGCGCCCAGCGCCCGTCCGACTGCGTGATGATGCTGAAGCCTTCGTCCCGGCCCGGCTGCTCCGCCTCGCAGCGCACCTTCCCGTCCTTGTCGGCGCCCAGGTACCGGCCCAGGTGGCTCTTGAGGAAGACGATGGAGCTGTCGGCTTCATCCTGCTCCAGCGTCCAGATCTGCTTGCGCTTGAGGCTGAGCGCCGAGGCGTTCACCTTGTAGCCGAAGCTCTCCGCCGTCAGGTACCGGCTCTCGCAGTTGATCAGCCCGAACTGGATCTTCAGCACCTGGTGGATCCCATTCGTTGGCATCTTCCGCCGAGGCGGGGCGGCCCCCGGGGGGCCGGCGGGGGCTCCCCGGCGCTGCCGAGCCCGGGCGTCGCGGCGGGGCCGGACCGAGCGCCCGCGGCGGGGGCGGCTGCGCTGCCCCGGACCCACGGAGCGGGACGGGGCCCTGGGGGCTGCGACCCGCCTGGGTACCCTCAGGTGGGTTTAGAGACCGGCCGGGTCACGGTGGGCACCGGGAACGCCCGGGCGAGGGGGCACCGCGGCAGCCCCCGGCCACGCCACCGTCCCTCGCCGCGGCCCCGTCCGGCTGTGGCGGAGCCGCGGGTGGAAAACTTGGGTGGGAACCCGATCCGGGCCGGCGTATCCGTTCCGATGCCGGCGGGTTAAGGTTACCGGTCCCTCTGATTCAGCAGCGGGTCACCTCCAGCCGCGCCGCCTCCCGGCCAGCCCCTAAGCGCCTTTTCCAATTAGCCAGGCATTTTGATTAGTGTAAACCTTTTATCCTGCTTTGGGGCCCTTGGCCTCCATCTGTCCGGTGGCCCCAAATCCCTTCTGCAGCTGTGGATCGGGGTCACGGACACCCCCAGCCCCCCCTGGAGCCATCCCGGGGCGTGGGGTCCTTCGGGGCTGAGACCGCCTGGAACTCATGGCAACGATGAGGGTCTGGCCCCGTGGTGGGGGCAGGAGGTGCAGGGACTGGGGGGGACAGGGGTGCAGGGGACAGGCCCCACTCCCACCCTGCAGGCACTGAACTCCAGCCCAAATGGGACCCCCCCAAACGGGGCAGGTGCAGCCACAGGGACCTCCAGCCTCGGCCACGCTCCACCTGGGCCTGTCAGGGACGGGCTGTGCCACCGCCTGGGCCCCCCAAAGTGCTCGGACCCCCCGTGCCGGGCTCTGGCCACGTCCTGGTGATGCCGCCCTGGTTCCTGCCACCATCTCCCCGGCCCAGCAGCTCCGGTGTCAGCCCCGTGCCCGGTTATTGTTCCCACAAACAACCCCAGCTTTGGTTGCTCATGACTTTTTCATGCCGGGCTGGCTCTGCCCGAGCCGGGGGGTGCCGTGGCCCCCCGAGCCGTGACACCCGAGCCGCTGTAACTGACCCCCGAAACGGAGCCGGCTCAGCTTTCAGGCCCTGGCGGTGGGGGATAAGTGGGTCAGGGTCCCGGGGGGCTCCGGGGGGGGTCCGTGGGCAGCTGGGGGTGGCATCGTGGCTCTCGGTGGGTGCCCGCCGGCACCTGCCTGGCCGAGCAGCCGGGAGCGGCATTTATACACCGCGGCCCCCCCCGGCCCCCCGGCGGAGTCAGGTTCCCTTCGGGGGGGCCCCCTGGGCGCTGCCCCACAGCCACAGCGTGTCCCTGCGTCCCCCCGGCCTGGGGACAGCAGGACCCCTCCCCACTGGGGGCTGCTGAGACCCAACATGCTCGTGACAGGCCGGGGCATTGCAGGGGGCTGGGGTGGGTGACCCCCCCTCCGGGTGGGTGCCCCCCCTGGTTTCCATCTAACACCCTTACCAGGAGGGATATGGGGGTGCTGGGCTGCCCGGGGGGTCCCCAGCCCCCAGCCCTCATGGGGGGCTGGCAGAGGGGGGGTGGAGGGGGCTCAGCTTGGGGGATCAGGGCAGGGCTTTAGGGTGGGGGTCGCGGTGGGGGTCAGGAGGGGTATCAGAGTATTGGTGGTGGGACCCCTTCCTGGTTTCCATCCAACGGCCTTCCCGGGAGGGATTTGGAGGTGCTGACCTGCCCCCCTGGTGGGGGGCTGGCAGAGGGATGGGGGGGCTCAGCCGTGCCCCACCAGCCCGGGGGTGTCAGGGCAGGGGTTCGGGGGTTCTGGAGTGGTATTGGGGTGCTGGGTGGTGGGACCCCCCCATCATCACCCATCACGTGCACACGGGCAGCGCGGACGGACGGACGGATGGACGGACACCGGGCATAGGGGCGGGGCGGGGGTGGTGCCTTCCTCCTCCTCCTCCACCTCCTCCTCCTCCTCCTCCTCCCGGCCCTGCCCCTCCCTGCCCGGCCCTGCCCGCCCTGAGTCACGGGGAGGGGCGGCCCCCTCGGGCAGCGCCGGTGCCGGGTCCGGGCGGGGGGTCCCTCGGGGGTGTCCCCCGGGACCCGCGGGATGCGGTGTCACCTGCGCAGCCCCCCTGACCACACCCCCCCCCGGTGCCCCCCCCCGGTTCCACCACGGCCCGGCGGGACACGGCGCTGGCACGGGGGACACGAGACCCCTCGGGCTGTGCCGGGACCCCCGGGGACCCCCATCGCCCACCCAGGGCCACCCCCAGCTCGGTGCTGTTGCTGCGCCCCGACACCCCCCCGTGCCACCCGGGAGCTGCTGGGAGGGGCTGGGCGGGCAGTGGGAATTCTGTGGGACACAGGGATGGCGAGGCCAGTGGCCACCGCCGCTGCCACGGGCCTGAGTGGCACCGAGGGGCCAGGAGCTGGCGTGGGTGGCTGGTGCATGGGCCTGTGGCACAGCCTGTGGCTACCTGACACGGTGTGTGGCTACCTGACATGACATGTGGCTACTTGATGTGGTACATGGCTACCTGACGGGACGCATGGGCCTCTGACACAGTGTGTGGCTACCTGGCATGGCACCTGGCTAGCTGAGATGGTACATGGCCACCTGACACAGTGCATGGCTACCTGACACAGTGCATGGCTACCTGGCATGGGGCGTGGCCGCCTGGCCTGCTGTGTGCCCACCTGGCTGCTGTGTGCCCACCCGGCCTGCACAGGGACCCCTCACACACCTGACACTGCCATGGCTGTGACCCACCGTGGCAAGGGGGGGCTCAGGGCCCACGACACCCCCCAGGGAACGGGGGAGCTTGGTGTGAGGAGCCCCCCAGATTCAGTGGGCTGGAGAGGGGCCAGATTTGGGGCTGAGGGGGCTCAGACCGGGGCGTCACTGGGGTCACTGGGGTGGCAGCGCTGCCCGGGGGGTGTGGGGTGTCTGTGGGGTGCAGGGGCAGCACAGCCGGGCCTGTGGGTGCTGGGGGAGGCATTGGGGGGCCAGGGGGTGCCTGCAGGCCTGGTGTGAGGTGTCCCCCGATGTGAGGTGTTCCCTGGGGGGGTGCGGGGGGCACAGGGGTGTGCAGGGCAGGGTCTGGGGTGCAGCGGGGGGCGAGTTGGGGGGCACCAGCGATGCCCAGCCCGGTGCTGTGGGCAGGGTGCTGGTGCTGGTGCTGGGGGGGGTCCCAGGTGCCGCGGGTGGGGTGTGAAGGACCCGTGGGTGGGGGGATCCCGGTGCTGTGGGTGGGGGTGCAGGTGGGTGGGGGGGTCCCAGTGCCAAGGTGGGGGTGCAGGTGCCGTGGGAAGGGCTGGTGTGTCCGGTGCCTGGGCGGGCGGGGGGGGGTCCCGGTGCCCGGGTGGGGTGCACGTGCTGCCCGGGGCGGGGGGCGCGGTCCCACCTTCGGGGTGCGGGGCCAGGCCCGGCCCGGCCAGGCCCGAGGGGGGGCCCGGCCCGCACCGGAGGCGCTGCCGGGGGGGTGCCCGGCGCTGCCCGGGGGTGCCCGAGCCGGGGGGTCCCGCCGGGATGGGGGGGGCCCCGCGGGGCCGGGGGGCCCCCCCCCCCCCGCGGGCCCCCCCGCCCCATGCAGGTTCCGGGGTGCCGAGGGGGCGGGGCCAGCCCGGCAGCCGCCCCACGTGGCCTGGGCCGCGCCGGCCAATGGAAGCGCGTGTTTCTGAAAGATCTCCATATATGGCGATGTTCTCGGCCGGGGGGGCGGGTCCGTCGCCCTCCGGGTATAAAAAGTCGGGGCTGGCAGCCGGGCGGTCTCACTCAGCCGGCGGCACCAGACCAGGCGGCACCGTCACCGCATCGCCCACAGCAGCGACCCCCGCGCAGCAGGTACCGCACGGCCCCGCGCCCGCGCCGCCCCTTCCCCCGCGTTCCTCGGAGGGTTCAGGGGGGGTGTTTTACGGCGCTCGGTCTCGCCCGGCCCCGCGGTGGGCTGCGGCCGTGTGGGGTGTCCCCCCTCCCCGGGCTCCCCCCCCCCCTGTGCCGCGTTGGGATGGTCTCGCCCGTGGGTCCGGGCAGGTGGGGGGTGTGCGGGGGGGGGGCGCGCCGCGATTGGTGGAGGCGGCGGGTGACGTCAGCGCGCGGGAGATTCAAACGGGCGATTCAAACGGGAGGGACCATCGGGGCGGGGGGGGCCGGGCATGGCCCGCAGCCAGCG